CGCATTTCTGGGGTAGGGCCCCAACTTGAAGTTGCGGGTCTCTCTGGGAGCATATGGAAGCCAGGTGCCGGCACCTCCACCTCTGCCGCAGGCCCAGCCGAAGGCAGGTTGAGGGTTTCAGGGTTTAGGGTTTCAGGGTTTAGGGTTTAGGATTTAGGGTTTAGGATTTAGGGTTTCGGGTTGAGGGTTGAGGGTGTGCGGCTTTTTGGCTTATGTAGGCTTTTGGGGTTTAGGGTTTAAGGTTCAGGCTTTTCGATCGTTTTTTTTTTTTTTTTTTTGGGGGGGGGGGGGGGGTTGTGGAGCTTCAGGATTTTTGAGGCTTTCTGGCTTGGGGTTTAGGATTCAGTGACGAGGGCTCACGGGGGATGTTTTATCGGGCTGCGGGCTGATAAAGCGCGTTTGGCCATAGCGATGGCAAGCCACGCTTACATGAGCCCAGCCGATTGCGATGTTCCCCCTTATACTAACAGTCCTTAATAGGGATTATAGTACGCCCTTATAATCCTTATTAAGGACTGTTAGTATACGGGGGAACAACCCTAAACCCTAAACCCTGAAGCCCTGAACAACAGTTTAATAGGGATGGCAACTTTCAGGCTTCCCAAGACACGACAAGCTCACACCTCGATAGGGTTTAGGGTTCAGGGTTTCGGATTTAGAGCCTCTGGGGTGGGTTTAGGGCCTAGCCCTAAACCCTAAACCCTAAACCCTAAACCCTAAACCCTAAACTTTCTCGGGTTTCGGGCTCTAAGGGCCCTCCATGCCTCCTCAGCCCGAAGAGACATCCCTGGCAAGGCCCGCCTCGTCGAGGTCTTCGACTTGCGGCTTCAGCTGCCCTCGGCCCTGATACAGGCTTCCTTGGGTTTAGGGTTTAGGGTTTAGGGTTTAGGGTAGAGGGTTTAGGGTGCCCTTTAGTCAAGCAACGATCCAAGAGACTTTAGGTGCAACCCTTCTAACCCTACGTATCTATATAGCACCTGTACCATAATGGGGGGTCGCGGGGGGGTGTGGGGGGGGGGTGCAAGGTTTGGAGGACCAGGGATGCGATTACTTAGGTCATAGAAGCTTGGTGAGTAGGTCCTTGCAGAAGGCGCATGCATCATTGCATGGTCTTTCGGACCTATCTAGGGACTTTGTTGGGCCAAGTATATCAGAATGAAGCCCATGGACCGTGTATGTAAACGACATGCGCGCCACAGTAGGGCCTTCCCAATCCCTTCAGCCCTAAAGTCCAGAACCCCAACAAAGCCTAAACCCAAAACCCTAAACCCTACACCCAGGGTTTAGGGTTTAGGGTTTAGGGTTTAGGGTTTAGGGTTTACCCTAAAGCTCGAGTCCGTTTGTGCAGGCTCGCCAAGCGCCCGCGATCGCCAAATCCACCGCTCGGGAAGAAGATGAGGCCAACTGAAGCCCTAGACCCCCGCACCTCAAACCATGGGTTCCCCTACTACCCCCCCCTATACTACCCAGGGTTTAGGGTTCAGGGTTTAGGGCTACTAACCCCCCCCCCCCGACCCCTAGGTTGCCCCCCCCCCGCCCCTCTACTGAAAGCTAATTAGGGAGAACTAAGCCGAATACAGGTTATTTAAGGGGGGAACCTAGGGGGGGGGTAGCCCTAAACCCTAAACCCTAAACCCTAAACCCTAAACCCTAAACCCTAAACCCTAAACCCTAAACCCTAAACTAGTATAGGCGAACCCAGGAGTCTAAACAAAAACACGTGCAAATCGAGATGCAAGGCCTCGCCACGGGCAGCTGCGAAGCCTTCTGAGGAGGCGCCTGCGAGGAGGACGCCCTGGTTTAGGGTTTAGGGTTAAGGGTTTAGGGTTTAGGGTTTTAGGGTTTAGGGTTTAGGGTTTAGGGTTTAGGGTGTAGGGTTTGGGGTTTGGGGTTTAGGGCTAATTATTAGGGTTTAGGGCGATTAGGGTTTAGGGTATAGGGTTTAGGGCTAGAAGGGTCTAGGGTTTGGGGTTTTAGAGGGTTACAGGTTTCGGGTTTAGGGTATAGGGTTTAGGGGGTTTGGGTGTTAAAGGGTTTTCGGCGTTTTGGGTTTGGGGTAGGGTTTAGGTTTTTTTTTTTGGGGGGGGGCCTCTGGGGTTTTTGGGGTTTAGGGGTTTAGGGTTTTAGGGTTTGAGGTTTTGAGGCGTAGGGTTTGGGGTTTAGGGTTCAGGGATTTGGGGTGTTGCGGTTTTGAGGCGTATTGGTTTTGGCGTGTAGGGTTTTGGAGTTTAAACCCCAAACCCCAAACCCCAAACCCCAAACCCCAAACCCTAAACCCTAAACCCTAAACCCGAAGCTCCAACAACTCCCTTGGCTGCCTTGGTCGACGCAGGAAGGCGCCCCAAGCTGATGAGGCCGTCTCTCTCTTTGGCATTGTGACTATACCATCCCAAACCCCGTTTAGAGCCTAGAAGGACCCCATAAGGCAGGGTTTAGGGCTTACGGTTTAGGTTCAGTTCAGGGTTTCGGGTACGCCCTTGTGAACCAGAAAAACCCTATATGCCACAAGTCTCAACTGAGGTCCTAAGTCCTAAGCCCACCTGAAGCAACAAAGGCGTCTACCAAATCCCTATACCCTTACCCAAGTACTCGTGCAGCCACATAGTAGACTGCCGGCCTATGGGCCCTCATCGCCCAAGCGCTGCCTGGGTCTTGCGCAGCTTGTTCCCATGGTAGTGTTGCTTACAGACAGCGGGGTTTCTCAACGAATATTTCCTGCCACTGCCACCCACGCCGGTACCTTATGGTACCTTGTTGCTGAGCCCCTTAGAGTGCACACACCTTGGAAATCTTCGGATGCCCTGCCCTGCCCACATTCCTTCTTCCTCTTTTGAAGAGCTTCGGACCCCTTCTCAACTCCATGAAGCAAAAGCGTGCCTCCCTTTCGTTCCTAGAGCCCTAGAGTACTCAACAACCTCAGAGAAAGGTACACATGCTTCCCCTTCATCTCAACCTCGGGTCCTGATATGTCCGGATCATCTTGTTGCTCATGGATAGGGGTTATGTGTACACGTGCATTCTCATGCAGCTAGTGCGTTGCAGCAGTGTCCAACAGTGGAGTAAAGAGAGACTTAGACGAGACTACTATCCCCCAAAGCCCCCCTTATCTAACCCCAATACATGCGAAAGGGAGCAGGGTTTGAGGTCTAGGGTGAGGGGGCTCTCAAAAAGGGTGCCTCAAAAGAGCTTTTGAGCGTTTTGAGCTGAGGACTCGCTACTCTCAAACTCAAAGCAAAGAGAAAGCCCAGCTGAGCTCTGAGATGACCCAAAACCCTAAACCCTAAACACTAAACCCTTAGTTGACTCTTTCCGTTGTTGCGTTCTGTTGGAGAGAGTTGACTCTAGCCGAGAGGTGTGCTCTAAAGTGTGCAAACTGTGTTGGAGAAAAGCACACAAAACAGGCACAAAACAGGCTGTGCAAAAATGTGTGCAACTCACCAAACTCACCATTCTTAGTTTCTGTGGTTTGCCTCTTTTTTCATGTGTTTTTCTTTCCTGCTCAGTGAGGTGTGAAACTCTGCACAAGGATCTGCGAAATACCTCCTGCATTACTATGCCACAACTTCAACCTGCCATTGTCTCCAAATTATACTTGTGAACGTATATACTGGCACGCAACATCAAACGAATCTGTTGCCGGACGCTGACGGCAAAACCTCACTAGCCAGCATGCACATGCAGATGCACCCGTGTGCATGCGCCATACTGATAATTGAGCCCATCACAGTCTATACCAAAATACGATAAAGTTTCTGCAAGTCTTGGACCATGGATAAAGCCCCGGCAAATCGACACAAGCTTGACTCAACAATGGAGAGCTGCAATACATTGAAAGAGCTTGAGTACAACTCTTCTCCTACCTGTGGGGCCTGTTCCGTGGATCATGACCCTGGGGGCACTTGAGCTGCTACTGCTACTACCACTACCATTGCTTAAAACCATAAAACCCTAAACCCTAAACCCTAAACCCTAAACCTTTAAACCCTAGCCCTGCGGAACCTCTTATGCTTCAACGCTGAACTGCACTGCAACTGCACCTGGAGGAACCCCGTTTAGGGTTTAGGGTTTAGGGTTTAGGGTTTAGGGTTTAGGGTTTAGGGTTTAGGGTTTCAGAAAATTCAAACTACGATACAAGACACAGTGCTACTATTTGAAATGTCACCATTAGCCATCTTATGATATGGATCAACTTTTGTACCGTGCTAAGACTCTGGATTTCCCGCTGGTAGTCTGGTTTGGTGCCGCACGCTGTCGGCTTGAGAAATCTCAAGAAGCAGTTTCTAGGGGTTCTGGTTCTTCATAGGACTGGGGCGAACCACGCTTGGCTCATGAACCCTAAACCCTAAGCCAGCAGGCTCAACATCCAAAACCCAAGACTACACCCTAGAAGACTTGACTGAGCCAAAGGCTGGTTGAAGTCATGGAAGTTGCAGTGGTTGTCTGAGCCTGCTTTGCCAGATGTGGTAGGACGGCTGCAAAGAAACATCCAGGCGATTAGCCATTGGAATTCGGTGATCGCCGATTCAGAGGTGTACTGTTTTTAGAGAAACCACAACATGCAACTGCTGGATCCTAGATCTAAGCTAGAATCACCATGCCATCAAAGCCATTTCTGGTGATTTAAGCCCCGTCTCCTTGCAGTGGGCCCGCCTTCTACAGAGTTCTGCATTGGAGCTGTTGCCATGAGAGTCCTCCAAAAAACTGCCTCCTAAGAGAAACCATCAGGCCCTCACAAATACCCGTTCTTGGAGGATGTATACTGATATACTCCATACAGCATACGCAGTATGCTATGAAGCATATGATATAGTATGCTATATTGTACACTATAAATACAGTAGCATCTCTACATAGCACGCATACACAGGATCTCTGAAACCCTGGCAAAACAGCTCACTCACGGCGTTCCAAGTCTCGATGGAGCAGCTCTCCTTAACTCTTTCTTGGTCAGTTATTTGGAGTCGAAAACTTGTTTATTGAGGCTTTTTCAAGAGGCAGGCTCACCGGAGTGCCAGGGGACCACCGAAGCGAAGCCCAGCTAAGCAGAGGAACCTATAGGAGAGGCAAAGACAGAACCCCAGCACGGTTTAGGGTTTAGGGTTAAGGGTGTGGGGTTTAGGGTTTAGGGTTTAGGGTTTAGGGTTTAGGGTTTAGGGTTTAGGGGGACAGGAAGGGCTTGGGACAATTCAGAGCCGGAGAGGGAGCGCAGTTTTAAGCCGAAGAAATCCGAAGAAGTTAGACTCACTGGCAAGGCGAGCCGAACCCAGAACTGAAACCAATTCACACAAGATTCCGAAAAATCTTAGGAGCATGTTGCAAGTCCCGCAAGTCCGACTTTCTTGGCTTCAGAAGAGTCAGACGGTTGAAGGGTTGGGGCGAACACCAGTTTAGCTTTCAACTTCATCTTCTCAAGCTTCGAGAGAGGTGTCATGAAGCCCCCTGCAGGTGGAACAACGCCTACAGCAAGGAAGTACTGCAGCAAAGCCTCCAAGCTCATAAGGAAAACGTCGTTCACGCCAGCGTTGGTGTAGTTATCCAAGGAGGATGTGGTCGTGCCTGCAGCGACCACGTTGTTGTCCCGGTCAACCTGCTGTGGGGGATGGAGCCGACCCGCCTCCTCCCAAACCCACACCAAGCTCGGGACTTTCTGCAAACGGGCAACACCCTGCCCCGGACCTCGCTGCCCCGCCCCCGGCCTCAAGAGAGCTCACGTCATCGAAATCACTGCCTGGCCGCACGGCTCGGGTCCGGAGCTAGTCTGGACCAGTCTCTCTTGAAAGGCTGCAAAGTGAAGCAGCTCAGACGGAGCTTGCAAGAAAACTGCCCTGGAGCCTCCTCGCTGCACTGTGCAGAGCCAGGCGCCGTTGCTCGTAAATGTCATGAAGAAGGCGTCGGCACTGCCAGCGTTGGTGTAATTCTCCAAGGAGGAGAAGGTGAAGCCTGCAACCACCAAGTTGTTGTCCTGGTCCACCTGCAGTGGGGATCCAGCGGGGCCCTTCTTGACCCAGTTCTCACGAAGCCCCGTCAACGCCAGCATCGAAGGCATCGCCAAAAGAAAAAACCTCTCAAACCTACCTGGAACCTGCAAAGATGCCTGCCGCTTGGAACGGTTGTCAATTACACATCCAGCTCAGAACTTTCTGCGCAACCCGCTGCCCCCGACCTTGCTGCCCCCCCCCCCCCAGCCTGAAGAGCCTGCGTCGCGTCGTAGCCACTGCCTGGCCGGACGACTGGGGTCCGAAGCTGCTCTGGTGTCTCTCTTGACAAAATCCATAATGAAGCAGCTCAGACCAAACTTACATGAAAACTGCTCTGGAGCCTCCTCGCTGCACTGTCCAGAGCCAGGTGCCGTTGCTCGTAAATTTCATGAGGAAGACGTCGGCCGAACCAGCGTGCGTGTTGCCATCCAGGGAGGCGTAACCCTCACCTGCAACCACCAAGTTGTTGTCCTGGTCCACCTGCAGTGGGGATCCAGCGGTCAACGCCAGCATCGAAGGCATGGCGAAAAGAAAAAACCTCTCAAAACCCACCTGGAACCTGCAAAGATGCCTGCCGCTTGGAACGGTTGTCAACTACACATCCAGCTCAGAACTTTCTGCTAGTGGCGCTGCGCAACCCGCTGCCGACCTTGCTGCCCCGCCCCCGGCCTGAAGATCCTCCACCCCTTCATAGGCACTGCCTGGCCGGACGACTGGGGTCAGGTCAGACGACACTTGCAAAAAACGGCCCTGGAGCCTCCTCGCTGCACTGTCCAGAGCCAGGTGCCGTTGCTCGTAAATTTCATGAGGAAGATGTCGGAATCGCCAGCGTTGGTGTAGCCATCCAGGAAGCCTTCAGTCGCGCCTGCAATCACCAAGTTGTTGTCCTGGTCCACCTGCAGTGGGGATCCAGCGGAGCCCTTCTTGACCCATGGAAGGCATCGCGAAACTCTGAAACCCACCTGGAACCTGCAAAGACGCCTGCCGAAACGGAACGCTTGTCAATGACACATCCAGCTAGCTAAGAACTGTCCGTGAACGGCGCTGCCCGCGACCTCGGCCCCACCCCGGCCTGAAAAGCATACACATTGTCCCAGTCACTGCCTGGCTGGGCGGCGGGTCTCTTTTGACAGGTTCTGTTCGTGGAAGGTGCACAAACTGTGAAGTGTACCACTTTTTGAGATCTGATGCAGGTGCATGGCCCTGCTAAGGGTGACACAAACCTATGGATCCTGAACCTAGCCCCAAACCCCAAACCCCAAAACCCAAACCCCAAACCCCAAACCTCTAAACCCTCAACCCTAATCCCCAAACCAAATCAGCCTCTGAGCGAGGCTTCAAATCTACGAGGCCCTTCCCCGCCCGTGCGGCCAATCATTCGCGGGCTGCGTGGCTGAACCTTATAGGTCTTAGGGTCTTAGGGTTTAGGGTTTCATAGGGTTTAGGGTTTGGGGGAGTTTAGGGTTTATAGGGAGCAGGGTTGAGGGTTTGGGCTTAGGGTCAAGAGCTTGGGTTTTACGTTTAGGGTTTAATAGGGTTTCGGGTTTCGACTTTAGGGCTGTCACGGGAACCACGTAGTCCAAGGGTTTAGGGTTTAGGGTTTAGGGTTTAGGGTTTAGGGTTTAGGGAAGTAGAGACCTAGACTCAGAGTGGACTAAACTCTGAAGACTGTACCATGTCGGGCCCAGGCTCTACAAGAAATGCGAGCCGGGTTGTAGGTTTTCGGGCTTGAGGTTGTTAAGTCAAGATTTTGAGTTCAGAGTTGAGGGTGTTCCACCCTAAACCCTAAACCCTAAACCCTAAACCCTAAACCCTAAACCCTAAACCCTAAACCCTGACGCGGGGTGGATTCACAGGGTTTCGGGCTATGCGGGGCCTTTGTAAAAGTTCTCCTGTCGCATATTCCTTGCATGTGCGCACGAAAAGACTTGTTAGAAGCGCCCCGTTCACTGCGTTCGTTCATTCACGAATTTCACGCACTTCGTTCATATAATCACTTCGTTTGTGAATTAGTTCATTGCGCTCACTGCGTTCTCTTTTACATTATAAGTTAAGAATACGGTGAGTTGAAGAAGCGAGCTTGCGAACAGTGAACTCGCGACAGTAAGGCTTCCAGCGGTTTCCTCACAGTCTTTGCTCCAAGAACTACCGTATCATCCTGGAACTTGGCGTCCTTAATCATATTGTTGTTACTGCCTCAAAGACCCCGTTTCGTTCGGTCGCTCGTTGCGTTCGCTTGTTCATGAGTTGTCGTGAATTCACTTCGCTTTCACTCACTTTCTTCACGAAAACCCCTACCAAAAGAGTTCCTCATCACTAAGGTTTTAGAAGGCTTTGAGACATGAACTATATCAAGGGCGTCATCCGGCTCTTGGGGCGATATAGCCGTCCTAGGGTTTAGGTTCCCGTCTAAGCCCCTTTAAATCCAAGTGGGCACCCCTTTTATTCTGAGGTTACTCTTAAGTCTAATCTAATTTTCTGAACCTGACACCTTGAACCCAAAGCTTTCTGAACCTTAAACCTAGAGCCCGACACCCTGGCTAAATGGGCATTTCCCAAAGCATTGGACCTCTTCATAATATACCCCCGAAATACCATATACTATAGTGCCGATTATACGAACCCCCGTAAAGGTTACCAGAATAGTGGGAATTCCTCCCAAATAGCCAAACTACCCCCCAAAAAAACCCTAAACCCGCTAAACCCTGTAAACCCCGTAAACCCTGTAAGCCCTGCAAACCCTATAAACCCTGTAAACCCTAAACTGGACCCTGAGCCCACCGAAGCTTCAGGCTTATCTCGGACGTCATCGACGAGATGCGGGCCCCTCCATCCTACCAGGAGCCAGCTGAGGCCACGGATCGGGGTTTAGGGTTTAGGGTTTAGGGTTTAGGGTTTAGGGTTTAGGGTTTAGGGTTTAGGGTTTAGGGTTTAGGGTTTAGGGTTTAGGGTTTAGGGTTTAGGGTTTAGGGTTTAGGGTTTAGGGTTTAGGGTTTAGGGTTTAGGGCAGTGGGCACCTCCTTGATCTTCAAGGAAAGCGTGTGTGTCTTCAAGTGTGGAACTGATCATGTATTGGGTCGGCCTAAGCCCTAAATACCTAAACCTTAATCCCTAATCCCTAAACCCTGTACCTAAATCCTAAGCCCTAAACCCTAAACCCTAAACCCTAAACACCCCTTTGGAGAATCCTCGGCCGTACACCCTCGATGTGCACAGGTGTCTGGCGGAGTCGAGCTCTCTCCGCTGTTGGCCTCCCTGTGGCCCGGCTGCTGAGGGCCGGTTGCAGGTATTGGGCTTGGGGTTTAGGGTTTGGGGTTTAGGGTTTAGGGTATAGGGTTTAGGGTTTAGGGTTTAGGGCTTAGGGTTTAGGGTCTGGGGTTTCGGGTTTCGGGTTTAGGGTTTAGGGTTTAGGGTTTAGGGTTTGAGTTTAGGAAACTTCGGGCTTTTGGGTTTACAAGCTTTGGGCCTGTGAACCCTAATGCCCCAGGAGGGCTTGGGCGTTCAGGATACACAGCTTAGGCACCCAAAGTGGCATGCGCATTTCCGAAATCGCGCGCCTTTGAGGTTGACCCGCCTGCATCCGTCACGACTGTAAATTTAAATCCTGAGCCCTCAGCCCAAAACCCTAAGGCCCTGAATTCATCTCTCTCTCTCTCTCTCATCTCTCCTCTCTCTCTCCCTCTCCTCCCTCTCTCTCTCTCTCTCTCCTCTCTCTCCTCTCTCTCTCTCTCTCTTTTCTCTCTCTCTCTCTCTCTCTCTCTCTCTCTCTCTCTCTCTCTCTCTCTGACCTTGCTAGAGGGTGAGGCGATGCCGACTCTAACAAGGGGGTCACATCTGAAGGTCTGTATGGAAGAAGCCTTGCCATGTAAAGCTCCGAAGAGGGACCATATCTTAGGATGCCCAGCAGTATTTTCATGCCCATGTTTCAACAGGTCGGATCCTTATCACTTCTCCCTACAAACAAAACCCGAGGGCCCGCTACACCCAAAAGAAGTCACCCTTTCCTAGAAACCTATAAACCCTAGACCCTAAATCCTAAACCCTGAAATCCTAAACCCTGAACCCTGTCGTGCTTTTTGGGGCTAAAACCCTAAACGCCAAGAACAAACAGAAGGCCACCCCAAAGGCCGGCCTCGTCGGCGAAGGCGCTGGTGTTGGGCTGTTTGAGGGTTTATAGGGTGTAGGGTTTAGAGTTTAGGGTTTAGTATGAATTCGCTGGTATGAATTGTAAACCCAGAGGGTCCACTTATAGTCAAATTATTATGGATTAAGGTACCCCAAAACCTGGCATTGCATGGTTTTCGGTACCTAGTTTCACAATAGTATAAGTGGACGCTCTGGGTAAGGCTTACATAGACCCTAAACCCTAAAGCTAATTTTGGGTTTAGGGTTTATTGACCCCCGCCCCCCGCCCCCCGCCCCGCCCCCCGCCCAGCCCCCCGCCCCCCGCCCCGCCCCCCGCCCCGCCCCCCCCCCGCCCACCCCCCGCATCCAAGTAGCTATTATAGGGTGCAGAGTTTCGGTGTCATTTGCCCACTTGGAGCCCCAGAAAGACGGCCCGGATGCCCAGTAGTACCCGGTTTCCTTTTATTTTAAGATTTAGCATTCCGGGAGAAAAAAAACAAAACAACCCTTATGCCAAGGAACACCCTTCTTTGATCCTTTTATGAAGTGGGGTTTATATTTCTTGTATCCCCAAAAGGCCACCAAGTATATACACTCACCAATATTAAAAAGGAACCTTATGTACACTCACCAATAACAGTAATATATACCCTGCTTCATATAGGTTTGTGCAGACCCTTCAAGCCCTTAAGCCTTTCGTGATTCTTAGGCTGCTGCGCAACATTGGCTATGGAGTCACAAGCCTGAGGCTAAACCCTAAACCCTAAACCCTAAACCCTAAACCCTAAACCCTACACCCTAACCCCTAAACCCTAAACCCTAAACCCTAAATTTAAGAGCCTCCGGCTCAAGCCGCCGACCCCGCAGGAGAACAAGTTTAGGGTTTGGCGTTTGGTGATCTTGTTTGCGGTTCCTGTTGGGGGGGGTGGGTCGGTGGGTGGGGTGGGGGGGGTAGGGGGGGGGGGGGGACAGCGCAGGGGGCGAGCGTTTTTTCCAAAAGAGCCCCCATGCCCTGTGCGAAAACGCCTATGGTGCATGAGTTTACGCGGTGTGGGTGGCCTGTTCCTCCACGGAAAAGCTGCCGGGGTACCCCCCCCTACCCCCCCCCCCCCCCCTCCGGGGGGAAAGAGGGAGGTTTTCACCTCCTTTTCCCATCCAACACGCCGCCAGGGTCGGCGGACCCTAAACCCTAAACCCTAAACCCTAAACCCGAGCCCTGAATTCTAGCCGGGCTCTGAGTTCCGGGATGAAGACTCGTACCCCTAAGGTCGTGCCCCTAAAGGTTCCCCCTAATATACTCCTATTATGGCCTTTATGTTTATAGGGATCTTTGAAAAGGGCCCCCCAAAACCCAAGATTGCAACCTTTAGGGTCCAAGGTAGAACCCCTGTAGATGAGTGGCTAAAGTTGTTCTACTGCCCAAGGTTTGGTGTTCGACGTTCAGGGCGGTGTTGACTGGTCCTGGACACGAGAGCACATCGATCTGTCACTACGTAGGCTTACTCATTCAGCACCTGTATCTTGAAGTGTCTGAACTGAACATAATTACTTGTCCAACAACTGAGCTTTAATCTCTTTGGGTCTCCTTTGTTTGTAAGAATAATAAAGTTTAACCTTTTGTCCCTTGGCCATTGGAGAAGTAAGCATAAAACCCTTAAGCATGAGTTCGCAAGCCGCAGCACAGTGTTTTCAGCTGCAGAGACCAACGCCAGTCCAGTGGCTTCGGAGCGGATAGCAACAAAGGAGAGTAGGGTTTAGGGTTTAGGGTTTCAAAGCCCAAAAACATACACCAAACCCTGAACCCGAAACCCGTAAACCCTAAGGGTCCATATCCCCGTATAACGGACACTCGGAACCCAAAAGAGACATGCGTTCCAAGTGGTTTAGGGTATAGGGCTTAGGGAAGTAAACCACCCATATGAGCACGTCTAAATTTGGATCCCCTTTGGGCGGGGGATCTTGCCGCGAACTCGCATGCCCAGCAATGCTGTAGCTCTCCATTCCCGCCCTGTAAACCTAAAACCCTAAACCCTATACCGGAAACCCTAAACCCTAAACCCTGAACCCCTAAACCCTTAAACCCCTAAACCCTAACTAAACCCTAACACTCCTTAACATGGCCCCCTCTGCAGGGACTTCCGCAGCGTGGGCGGGCGGCGTTGGACGAGGACCAATCCCGGGACCCCCCCCATGAGCCGCTCCACACGTTTAGGGTTTAGGATTTAGGGTTTAGGGTTTAGGGTTTAGGATGGGTTTAGGGTTTAGGATTTAGGGTTTAGGGATTAGGGTTCAGGGTTTAGGTTTTCGGATGGGTTTAGGGTTTTTTGGATTTAGGGTTTAGGGTTTAGGATTTAGGGTTTGGGGTTTAGGATTTAGGGTTTAGGGTGTATGGGGTTCAGGCGTCCCCCGGAACCCGGACAGTACAAGGGCAAAAGAGCTCGTTGCGGGCCCTAAACCCTAAACCCGAAACCCCAAACCCCAAACCCCAAACCCTAAACCCGAAACCCTGCGAGGACGCCTTTGGGCGACGGGTCGGCCGCCCTCCGCCACCCTACGAGGCGGAAGCTCGGACTTCGGAGGTTGAGTTTTTTGTTTCTAGGGTTGCTAGGGTTTTTGGGGTTTCTAGATTTTCTACGGTTTCTAGGGTTTCTAGGGTTTAGGATTTAGGGTTCCTAGGGTTTGGGGCTTAGGGTCTAGCCAAGTACAACCCTCGATTGCCCACAAAAGCCCTCAACTTCCCTCAAAACCTCAACTACCCTGAAGCCTAAACTACCTC